ATGTTGGATAAGATGGGAGGTGAGGGGCAGCTCTTACTGGTTTAACTGGGCTCAGGAGGGAAGTCTCCTGCTCTCAGCTCAGTGGTGAGTGAGGGTCTGTCTGGGTAGGACAGGGATGTGGGGCTGGGATGAGCCATCCCTGGGGCCCTCTCCTTTCCCTGGGCAGCTCCTGTGGGACTTGGCTGTGTGTGACTGGTGCAGTGGCTGGGGTGTGACACCCCAGTGATGCTCTGGGTGCCCCTTTCTTCAGCAGGACTTGCAAGAAGTGATGGGGACAGCCCCTCCCGGGGCTTTTGGAGTGGGGACAGCCCTGTCCCTGTCCCATCCCTGCCAGGCTGGTGTGGGAGAGTCAACAGTACTGATAGCAATCTCAGGGCACTGCTCTGCGCAGGCACTTGGTCAAACAAAAGGGCTGGGTAAACATTTGAGGAGCAAACACCCACAAAGGGAAATTCCCAAGAACCTTCCTGTCACCACGGGAGCTCCGGCTCGTCCTTCCAGACCTGCCCCAGTGGATTTTCTCTGGGGTGAGAGTGATTGTCTTGTCCTTCTTCCTTATGCTGCAGGGAGAAACAGGCCTGTGTGTAGAGAGAAGGGGCTTTATTTGGGGTGGTGGGCAGCAAGTGCCCCAGGCCATGTCACTCCCCCTCTGCCAAGGCCAGCAGTGTGATAGGGACATCTCTGAGAACCCACTCAGTGTGGGCTCTGTCCCCAGGTTCAGTCTGGTCCCCACATGTCACCACTGAGCCATCTGGAAGAGCTGTGCCCAGGGAGGCACCAGTGTCCCTTCTCTTTAGTGACTTGTCAGCCCCATGTGTCTGCAGGAGTGCCAGGGATGGAGCACCAGCCTGCTGCCCCAAAAGAGCCTCCTCAGTGTCCTTCCCATTCCCATGAGTGCCCCGTGGCTCTCCTGCCCTGACCAGCACCAGCACCCTCCTCCCACGGCCTCCAGGGCAGGGCTGGGACCAACCTGTGGCCTCCAGCCCTCAGCCCTGCAGGGCTGGGCAGAGACAGCTCAGCTCTGGGGACTTGAGAGCGCCCACAGGGAGCCCTGAGAGGCTGCAGCTCCCGGAGCCCTGGGCTGAGGCTCCAGAACGCCCTCAGCACCCGCCTCCGCTGCGCTCGGTCCCGGTGCCTCGGGTGACGCTGGCCGCGTGGCTGCCATCCGTGCCATTGTCTGTGAAGGGTGACACCAGGGCCAGGTCCAGCGTGGGCATGGGCCGGAGGCGCTGGGCGGCCCCGCGGCGCAGCCAGCCCCGGTACTTGTCCCCAGCCATGAAGTACAGGATGGGATCGAGGCAGCTGTTGATGCTGGCCAGGGGCCGCGTGATCTTGTAGGTGAAGTTGATGATGTTGAGGGTCCGGCAGTCGGCCTGGAAGTAGCGGGAGGTGTAGTAGAGGGTGCGGGTGATGTGGAAGGGCACGAAGCAGATGGCAAAGACGGCGAGCACCACGATGATCATCTTGATGGAGCGCCTTTTGTAGGAGGGCATCCGGAGGCCGGGGCTGGAGAAGCTGGACTTGCAGAGCCGCTTGGCCATCAGGCAGTAGCACACGACGATGACCAGGAAGGGCACCCCGAAGAGCAGGGCCATGATGGAGGAGCTGTAGTGCACATAGTGGTCGAACTCCTCAGGCTTGGTGGTGTCGTGGCACAGGGTGATGTTGCCCTTGGAGCTGGTGGTGACGAAGATGAGGTTGGGGATGAGGCAGATGGTGACCACGAGCCAGGCGGCCACGCAGATGATGCGGGCGTGCTTGGTCTTGACCCACTTGAGGGAGCGGATGGGGTGGCAGATGCCCATGTAGCGGTGCACGCTGATGCACGTGAGGAAGAGGATGCTGCTGTAGAGGTTGGCGTAGAAGAGGAAGCGCACGAACTTGCAAAGCCCTGTCCCGAAGGGCCAATTGTTGCGGTCAGCGTAATAATAGACCAGGGTGGGCAGAGACAGGACGTAGAGCGTGTCCGAGAGGGCCAGGTTGACCATGTAGGTGGTGGTGGCGTTCCAGGGCCTCATCCTGGAGATGAACATCCACAGGGCCCAGGAGTTGAGGGGCAGCCCCACCACAAAGACGATGCCGTAGGAGACGGGCAGCAGGATGAACTTGAACTCTTCGTCGAAGACACACTTTGCCTCGGGTGCTTCTGTGGTGGTGTTCCCTCCTGGCCAGGGAGCGGGCGTCAGTGTCCACAGGGAAACTGGGAACATCCTCACTGGAGTGGCCATGTTGTGCCAGCCAGACCTAGGAGCAGTTCATAAAAGCACACTAGTCACTGATCCCGGCCATTGTCAGGCACAAAGCGTGGACGGGAGCCAAAGCTGCCAGATTTTCTCCCCCTCCAGGAGCTCCGGCCACTTTGATGGTTCTCTGGTTTTTCTCAACTCGTGCGTTCGGGCCTGTGGGGAGCTGGGGGTAGCCTCCCTTCCGCAGCCCCTGCACTGACACCCATTAATCACCCCTTAATTACCCATTAATCACCCCTTTGAGCCGGCGCAGCGATGGCAGCGGACAGAGCCCCACATTGGGGACAGAGCCCCACGGCCTCCGAACAACAAGACCTTGATGAGCTCCAGCAGCCCCCAGCTGGGGCCGGAGCAGCCTCTTGGAAGCTGCCTCAGCCTAATTGGCACCATCCTGACAATTCTGCTGCTCCCAGAGGGCTCCTTGGGAGAAGAAATTTGGGAGGAGAAGAAAGGCTCGTCTAGGGGAGTGGTGTGGCCCAGAGAAGTCCTGAGGGGGCTGTTACAGCAGCCTTTGGGAGAGAGTGTCCCCAGACAGCGAGGAGCCGCTGGCTGCCGGGTGTTGTCCATGGGGAAGGGATGAGCTAAGCCCTGTGGAGAGGAGCTGCCAGAACCAAGTCCCAGCTCAAGTTCAGAAGGTGGGCAGGACGTTCCCTCCTGTGCCGTGCTAGGATCAAAGGCTGGGATCTGTGGGAAGTTGGCATGAGGACAAACTGTCTAAGTTCAGAACTCTTGTCTCGAGGGAAAAGGAAGGGTCTGCCACCACCATGGTGTCCAGCAAAGGACCAGTGAGGGTCACCCACCACCACCACCCCTGGTGAAATGGTCAAAGGAGGATGGACGCTTGGATAAGTAACCCAGGAGCAGGAGCTGCTGTGCTGCTGGTGGAGATGAGGGTGTAGCCAAAGCCGTGTTTGATGAAGGGAATGCGGGAACATCTCCAATTCCTTTTGTCCAGAGCTCACCCAGGAGGTGATGGGCACCAGGACAGGGGAGGACTTGGGGCTCAGGGATGAACATTAGCTGGAGCTGGTGCTACAAGGTGGAAGGACACATCCTCTCGGCCTTCTTCATCCCTTGGCTCCCTTATCATCCCCCTCCTGTTTCTCTTTGCCCTGAGGATGTGCAGGCTTCTCCCAGCAGGAATATCTCATAGGGTGTATCTGTGGGATCATCCCTGCCACGCCCTGCCTGGAGAGACACCTGAGGTTGACAGAGATGCCCATAAATGACTCACAGGCAGATGGGACAGCGGGGGCCCCTCCAGCCGTGCTCCCAGGGCTCTGTTTGAGTTGCGGGCTGAGCTCCGGGCCCACATCCAACACCCTGCAGCTCCTGGCCCGCCACAGCTCCCGCCTTTATTGCAGGGATGAGTTCAGAGAGCAACAGGCAGGTCCTGATCAAACATTAACAGTGGGGAGAACTTGGATTGTTTTCCCAGAACCAGGAGGGAAATCAGGCAATAGGAAAGCCTGAGCTTGCGAGCGAGGTGCCAGTGGTGGTCCTGGCCCAGCAGCCACGTGTCCCCAAGCTGCTGAGGACATGAGGGAGCAGGAGATTCAGTTTCCTCTTCCAAACTCCGAGTGTGAAGGAGCACAAAGCCCTGAGCCCAGAGCAGAGCTGCCGCAGGTTCACTGTCCAAAATCAGTGTGCATGACACAGGTCACCAACCAATTAAGATATGAGGAAGACAGTAAAAAAAAGTTAATAATCAAGTGTGAAACATGAATAAGGAAAAGTCCTGAGCAGCTGTGGACTGCTCAGAGGAGAGCACAGGCACCTGGCTTCTGGCAGCTGATACAGCCTGAGCACAGTCAGCAGTGGGATTTAACCATTCCCAAGCACATTCCTTTGAGGATAACCACCGAAATATAGAAATGCAGAAGATGACATTTGGCAAGTTATATTTTAACAGGATTCTTGCTTCCTCAGCGTCGTCACAACCAAAATCAGTGATTGAAATTACTGAATCACATCGGTCTAGCCTGAGGGCACATCACCACCAGCCCCACTCCTATTCCTTGCTGACATTCCTAGCAAAACTATCCTTGGCCATGGGCTTTTGAGGAGAGATTGAGGTGTGAGCCAGGAATTGGCACTGATTGTTGGAGCAGGAGATGGAAGGGGCTGCTGGGAAAGGATGTGGAGCAGGGAGATGGAAGGGGACGCCGAAAGAGGTGATGCTCTTGTTCTGCCCGTTTTGAGGATGTACAAGGAATGCTGCAGAATCCCTTGCCGATGGCAGGCACATCCCCCAGGGCTGGTGCCTTTCGAATGGCCTCTGGTTTTCTCTAGGAAGCAGCAAGGGGCCCTGGAAAATGCAGCAATAGCCATGGGCCAGTGGCAAGGGGCAGGGGACACACGTTGAAGGCACGTGATGTTCTTGGCCACCAGATTGGCAGCTTTTCCCTGGCTCCTGGTCCTGCAGATGTGCCCAAGCCAGAACTGTCCTTTGGCCCTGCTGACAGCACCAGTCCTGGTGGGATCTGAGGGTTCCCCCAGCCCTGGGGATTCATGGAGGTGTTGGAAAGGCTCCAGTAAAATGAAGGAGTGGGACAACACCAGAGCAGATTCTGCTCTGGAGCCAAAGGCCTGCTGGTGGGACAGGATGGGAATCGTGGTGTTGGGATCATGGAGCAGCAGACAGGAGCTCGGAGAGGGGCGGTGAGAGCAGATTTTGGAGCAGCTGCCAAGGGATGGGTGAGCCTGGGACTGGCTGCTGCTGGAACATGGGAAAAACAGGGCTTTTCTCCTTGCCTAAGCCCTTGGAAATTGCAAAACAAGGAGAATTATGCAAAACATCCTGCAGAAGGACCCTTGTCCCTAATCCCCACGTGGCTGGTGCAGCCAAAGCCCCGGCACAAGGGGATGTGACCTAATTCCAATCCTTCCCTTCGCCTGGAAGAGCAGCCAAGGCATGCTCTGCCGGGACACCTCCCCAGGGACACAAGTGGGGCTGGGTGTTTCCCTTGCTGTCCACCCCATCCCCTGCCCCGAGGTGACCCCGGGCAGGGTGGGGGTGAGGGTTCCCTTCCACCCTTGCTGGGCTGTCCCTGTCCCTCACCTCGTTGGGAACAGGCAGGAGCCCACAGTGTCAGGCTGAGCCACGGCAGCAGCAGAGCAGCTTCAGCCCACAAGGAGATGGAGATTTGGGGGATGGAGAGGAGGATGAAGGAGAGGAGGATGAAGGAGAGGAGGGGGCCACACTAAGAAGCATGAAGGCCTCAGTGACAGAGGAGGAGGTGGCATGTTAGAGAGGAGGATGTCCAGAGGGAATTGGGGTGGAGGAGGGACAGTGAGAAGTGGCTGGACCCCACCCTGCACCCATCCAGCCCTGCGGATCCCACCTCTGCCCCTCACCCCGGAGCCCAGCTGGGACTGTGTGACCATGGCAGGGCTGTCCCAGCTGTCACCAAACAGGGGCTGCCCCAGCTCACCTGCACACCTGGGAGCTCTCAGGAGTGGGGCCCCCACGGGGAGAGCCTGTTCCCCTCTCGGGACGGGGCCATGCCGGGGGGCTGCGGGCGGCCCTGGCCGTGCCCTGCCGTGCTCAGTGTGCCCGCTCCCGCTCCCCGGGACCGGGAACAAAGTGCCCAGGGAAGGCAGGGCTGGAGGCGGGCGGAGGCGGAGGCAGGAGCTGTCGCAGGGCTCA